AAGACCCCTTCAATGTGGAACGATTCTTAGCTAGTGTCGATATTTTTCACTGCAGTGCCTAACACAGACGATCGGGAGAGATTCGGGTGATTGTCAATTGCTGCTATGATGGCTTTGGTTGGTTGTTCTTTTTCACTGTACGGCCGCAGACACATTCTGACAGCACTTCAGACAGCAGCTTTGTGCCCCGCCAGCTGCTTGTTCCATGCCTACCATGGTGTTTTTGTACAGACAACACTTCAGACAGCAGTATGCTGTAGTCGGCAATCTTCCGTTTTGGTATAGAATGGAACAGGGAGGGGGTGATGCTACTGTAATCGAACGGTGGGACGGACGTGCAGTTCAGTTTTTGGGCACGCATACGGTGCTGCAGGGATTTTTAGGTGTACCTCTTCGGGCTCTTGGATACCCTTTTCTCGTCATATGTGTGCGTGTTCTTTAGATCCTCAGATGGCTCTAGCACTTTCGTGATCACGGGCTGAGAGTCTTTTGCTAGATTTTGGCATTTAGCAACTGACACACGGTTTAATGTGAAGACAACAACAACAACAACATCATTGGACTTTGCCGTCTGCCCCTCTGGCCCCTATCCTCCACTTCTACCAGCTAGACGATCCAACCGGGGTCACATGGGAGGGGGGGGTTGGACCCCTTCTTCCTGCGGTTCCTGCCTGAGATATTTTTATCGCGAGAAGAGTACAGCAATCCCTTCCCTCGCGACTTACGAAGTCGATCGAGTTTATGCGCAACGGCGGTTCCATTATGGCGTTAATCCAGTACGGCGGTACTATTATGGCGGTACCGTAGTACGGCGGTACTAATTTGGCGGTACTCAGTACGGCGGTACCATTTTGGCGGTACTGTAGTATGGCGGTACTAATTTGACGGTACCAGTACGGCGGTACGTTTTCGGCGGTACTGCAATACGGCGGTTCCTATTAGGCGGTTCCCGGTTCTTCGTTATTTTGGCGGTACATTCTAGGCGGTCACGCAAAATGCCGGTACTTTTTAGGCGGAAGGCGATTTTTCGTTTGGCGGCGGTATCGCCTTCGGCGGTTCCCGGTACCACCGAAATGTGGCGGTAATTACCGCCGGTACCGGGACCGCCCACCACGGCGGGAAAAAAACGCCAGGAATTTTCCCAACGTGTACCCTGAAAATACCCCCGAACATCTCAAAATCTCCAAGAATATCTCCCAAGCCACATGTGCGACCTGACCTGAGAATGGACATGAGGAAGGCGCTCTTGTTACGGATGGACGTGATGTCGCTCTGCCCAAACTCGTCCATTGCTGCCTCCGCCTCCTTCTCCGTTAGGTCTCGGAAGAAGACCATGCACCTTCACCGGCCAATCACGTGGAACCAACGAGAGTTCAAAACAACTGATCAATCAATCACATGACACCAACAAGCTTGACCGACCGATCACATGAAAGGAACGAGATTCGAAATGAGGGAGCGTCGGAAACAGAGAAAATTCGCCACGCCGTGTCCGCTCCTAAGCACCAGCAATACGTTCAGCACTAGCAGCAGCAGCATGGGCAGCAGCATCAGCGCCAGAAACAGCAAAAAATTCGACGGCAGCAGCAAGCAGCATGGCGGGAGCAGACAGACCCACCTCTGATCGACGTCGGCCTTCTGGATGAAACCGCTCTCGTACAGCTTCTCCAAGCGGCTCGCTATTGACGGTGATAACCCGTCCGGCCCCGCCTGGTTACGCAATCCATCGGCGACCCAAAACACGGGATATAGGACGACTTGGTAATCCGTGACTGAGCCGAGGGCGTCAGAATTGGAGCCGATTTGCATGACAAACAAACACGCTCAGATATATAGACCTCAGGGGTTTCAATTCAACTCTACGGGATGCTCTGGACGAAAGGACGTTGAGACACACGTTTCTTGAAAAATAAGCAAAACTGTAACCTGGGCTCTGTATCTGTGGATATGAGATGGGTCCGTTGTGTTAGGACACACAAACATCAGGCTGATGAGACGTACCGAGCTGATATTTTCGTGGGCCCACGGACACACAGGAATAGAACAAGGGCAGCGTGAGCACGAAATAAGTGCAGCACTAGCAGACACCAGGTCAACTTGGCTGCCCTGACTATGTGTCCAAAAAGGCCCCGTTGTTCAACGGCCCAAGCACACCGCGCACCGACGGAAGACTGGGCTGTGCAAAAAAGACTCCGGTGTCCATCAAGGCGTCTTGCACGGATTCTGTGAATCACCACGTTGGTGTGGAACCCCCAACCAGTTACACCCGTCGCAACCTAGAGATTTAGAGATCCAAAAGAACACTAAAACCGACCTCGCTTGGTCTATCGGCGACAGCACTAATCCAACCACGGTCGGTGGGTATGTCACCCAACACCGTATCCACAGCAGTAATTAGCTATGGGCAACACGGTGGATGGCTGATGCAGCAGACCTCCAACCAAAAGCTTCCTCATCCGAACCCGGACCAATGCGTACGTATCATACTCGCACGTCTGCTGGGCTCAGCGGCGTTGGTGGTCACCGGCGCCAGAGCGTTTCACATGTGCCGCAGATACCGCGACCCCCTCCGCCCCCGACACACCGACCGTTGGCTGCCAAGCGATACCACCACGCCTACCTACTTGCTTGTGTGCCTGCCGACCAGCCTGTCTTCCTGTTTCGTCCCGTCTCACTTGTACTGTTCTCTCACCCCCATGCGTCCCATGGCGTTTGGCGTCGTCACCATCCCGCCGGCGGTGCCATTCCCCAGAGGCGCCCGCTGGCCCTGCTTATACTTGCGCAAGATCCCCATGAGGTACGCGGGCTTGTTCCGGATGTTGACGCTGGTCTCGGAGACCGCCGCATGGTACTCGTTAAGAGCCGCCAGGGCCTGGCGGCCGAGACGACCGGAACAGAAATGACGTCATGCTTCGAGTCACTAAAATGCCACTCCCCACTCTACTTGAACAAGACCAACAACGGCAATATGCTTTGTCGCGGGGGGGGGCTTGCCCGTCATCGGAGAGAGAAAAGTGTTCTCGTAAACATGGGGACTCAATACTGACAGCAGATGTGTGCCTCGGTTACTCTGTGATCATCGGCTAAAAGGTGTCCGCATTTACAATTGATGTGTGCATATAATGCATTTGTGCATTCATCCGCCCTGCCCTGTTTACCCGTCACAACATGTACAAGTCGACGGATTGCAAAAGTCTTGGTGGTGAGCCAAAACGACTGCAATCGTTTTGGTACCCCCAGCAGTTGAAGTTCATGGCCAGAACTAGGGTTGCTCAAGTTGATAAGGGTGGGACCGCACAATACATGCCTCGAATTTATTACTTTACTATGATACTGGGTCTATTGATGCAGCACCCTATCCACCCTACAGCAGTAAGTTGGGCCAGACTGCCATCCATCCGCGAACTACGCAAACTCATGAGCGGAGAGGAAAAGGGGCCCCTTCTTGCTCTCTTGCCCCTCACCGGGACTGCAACCACGGTCCAACGCCACTAGATAGGAACCGGTTCGGCAATGATGATTGAAACGATCAAACACAAGGTCAAGACAACACAGGCCTAACCACCACGGCACCAGCAGACGCGACTCCCGAACGGCGCGGGGGTTATTCTTAGCAACCGTCGGTAACTGGTAGATACACATGCTCCTCGACTGGCATCAAAATGCATACCACAATCTTTTTCGAAAATTCAGGACTGCCGAGCAGGGGAAGTTGTTTCATGGTTGCATATTTGTTTGTGCACGCGTCTCCTTCCCTATCATGCAGGGCACGCCGAGAGTCTTCCAAGGCGGGGGATTGTCGAGGAGAAGGAAAAACTAACTTCACCGGTGGGGATACTGCGGCGAGATGGCGACACCTTCAAAAGTTCATTTGCACACGTGGCTCTGCACCACAGCCGTAAACTACGGCGGTGTTCAGCACTGGAACCCCGACAAGCCGCGTGGAAATGAAAGCAGCCCCGCCCGATTTCCACGAACAAATTACGATGTGAACGAAAAAAACTTCCGCAGATACAGGTGTACACGCACCGACCTGAGCTTCGTCGACCTCCCCCAAGAAGTTAACGAGCCTGGCGTCCTGGCGCATCTCGTCGTCCTCCCCCTCTTGCAGCACGTCATCGAGCCTTGTTCTGACGGCTGGCGCCAGGTCCTCAATCGTAACCGAAACAAGCAACGAGGTAGTTCCTGCTCCTGTTGCTGATTTCCCTGCCGGTGGGGCGGCTGCGGCCTTCGGAACCTCCTCCTCTGCCTTGCGCTTCCGACTTGCTGCTGGTTCTGAAGCAGGGGCTATCTCTACAGCTACTTCTTTCTCAGCGACGGCGGCGGCGGCGGCGGCAGCGGTCACTCCTTCGGGTCGATGACTGTACTCCACACCCTTCGTTGCTGCTACTACTTCGGCGGCCGTTGCTGTTCCTGTTTCGTGATCTCCATCTACTACATCTTGCTGCTGTTGTTGTGCAGATGTTGTTGCTGCATCACTTGCTGCTGATGGCTCTATAGTCGGGGTGGCCTCATCTGCTGCTTTTTCGCCATCAGCTGCCACCGTTACTGGCGGTTCCTCTTCGCTCATCTTTTGCGGACAAGGTAGATGCAAGAAGGACCTTTGTCTGCGGGCTCTGGGAAGGCTGGCTACACCAATTCGGAAACTGCCTGGAGATACATGGGGTGGTGGCACGCTAGGATCTACATCTATCCGAGTCGCATCCCCCCCGTAACAAATGCCGGAGCCCCCGATCCTAGCCTCCACACTGCCCAAGACTTTGCACACTGCTGTAGCTTGCGACTGAAGCTACTCCGCCTCCACATCCAAAAGAAGGACGACACCACATCCACGCATATGACATCACCGCCAAGTTAATGGCATGTGGAGTGGAGCATTAATGTCCAAAATCAGTAAAGGCACGAGCATTCGGCGGTTGTCAATTTTTGACTTTGTTCGTGTGTAACCGCTGGCACTACTAGATTAGATAGTCACGACTTAGTCTAATAGTCCAGTTAGGGCGACTGCTCTACAAGATAGTCTACGCACCACCCGCGGCCGGTGTTGGAAAGTAGATGTGGAAAGGAGGGACATTGTTTATCAAAGGGAGGTTCGAGGTTAAAGGCCATATTGGTACACCTGGGGTGTCCAGCATTGCAACATAACTTGCCTATTTGGACTGCGGAAGAAATGATGCGGTTTTCAAGAGGGAGGAGGCATGCTCGTGGGTTGCTTTGGGGGCGGGGGGGGGGCAGCTGGTGGAGCAAGATGAAGCAGACAAATACTTGAACAAGTCGTATCTAACACCTCGCCCTACGACGCACTCAGGTTCCCTCAGTCCCTCAGTCGATGTTCAATTGATGCGTGAAGGCTTCTCCAGCATAGCTCCGTATGCCAGCACAAGCGACGTAGCAGCTACGCGTATGTTGGCGATGAGCGCAGGCATGACGAAGGTGAAACAAGCAGAAGCTTGACACCTCCGATGGTGGTCGATGTTGTCCCTTCTGAGCATCACAGACGGTCAGCCGAGCGACACGGTAGCTAGGACACGACATCGAGAGGGTTTAGTCTAAAGATGAAACGCAAGACGACCATGCCAAACAAAATCACGGCAGTTGCCGCGACGCGCGCCTCGACACAACAAGCGGAAGCCATTCATTGTGGTTGTGTCCTATCCCATTGCCTTGTGGCCCAGCTGCTAAACACCACTAAGCAGAGGTAGCGGGACCGGAAAGTCAAGTACAACATCGTCAAGGCAAGAAGTATAGGTCATCACGCTCGTGACTGGCTGCCAAAATCAACGTCGTTAATCACCGAAAGGGTCCATTCTGGATACATACGCATATCGCCGCTGGTGCGCTTGGGCGACGAATACACCAATCTAGTAATGGGGTCGGAAATCCCCAAAGGCATGACCTACCCATAAACGAAGGAAATAAGACTAAAAAAATATCGAGCGAGTCACAGATTGGTCCCCGTTAACACCAAAAAAAATAATACCGCAAATGAAAAGAGAGCCTCACCACGACCGACCCAAGGCCTAGTAGCAAATGCACCTAACTTTCCTGGCCCGTCGCGCACGTTCCGAGGATCGGTCCGCGGCTTGGACGCCGGACAAGCAACGTCAGTAACAGTCGTTGCCGGTTGGCTCCCACAAAGCAAGAGACGCTTAAGTCGCTAAGTAACTCGAAGCCAGGGATCAAGGCCATTCCTGCCCATTTAGGATGTTTTATCGCGGCAAAGAGACGGCAAATAACACATGTCCTTGCTTGCCCTGCCAGTAAGTGCAAGAATGGTAACGGCAGCTTGATTTTGAAAGGGTATTGACTGACGACTCTACGGCGGGAGGCCACCTCTCAAGGCGACCCCTCCTCATGAGTTCACGCAAGCACTCCCTCGCCGCAACAACACTACCAAGAGGTTTAAGTACAGGGCTCTGCGCTTGACGCGTCGACCTCACAAGACAAAGCAACAAAGGAGCAGTAGGGAGTAAGAAGCCGCACCTGCATTTCAACGCCCGGCGAACCAAAACAAAAAAAAAGAACGCATCGCATGTCTAACTCTTGCGAATACAAAGCGAACCAACTGTCTGCGTCTACCACTACTGTACGCTCATCCATCTACGTAGTTGTCGCTTCGGGAGTAGCCCTGCGGCATCAAGGGCATCTGCGAAAGATAAGTCAACGACCCATAACCGGGGTCCTCCCCGCCTAGAAGCCCTGAGCTCTCGTCTCCATGGGCGAGCACCTCCTGTGTACGAGAACACAACAAACACGCGGGCAAAGGGAACGAGGAGGGTCGACGCAAAACAGAAAGATGGCACTTCCGCGACAACTGTCGCGAGTAGAACAGCTGTACTGGGAGAGGAACCGTTGGTGAACGCGGCGCGCTGGGATGTGTCGTCCACGAAAAACAAAAAAAAACGGCGGATGGTTCAGCAAGAATCCTCGTAGTTGGTACACACCGTACCTCGAGTGATTCCCGCAGTCGTCACCTCTTCCCTACATGACTTTCTTTTCAACATGCCATGCTATGCACACCTGGCACGTCGTGATGCGAAACGGGATCTACATTTGGGAAAATGAGCACACCAACAAGACTCGGAACACATGAAACACACAAAAAAAAACCTTGGAACGGCGAGGTCTCATGCATCCCCAGAGGTGCATGTGGATAAAACCCCCAAGAGGGTGATAGATAGATTGAAATCTACTACAAAAAGTGCCACAACCACACCATCAACACCGATACGGACGTTAGATACAGCGTGCGTCTTCTTGGGCGTCCGGTTTCCTTCTACGGGTGCCAATGTGGGGCGTGGACGCGGGTTGCTCCCCTTTCACCGGGAGGATAGCAGCAACCAACAACAACTTAAAAACCGGCGCAGAACGAAAGGGTCAAAAGGGTCTGTTGCCGCACCTGTGTCGTCACCAACATCCCTCGCCGGTTTTTGTCGTAGCAGATGCCCCCGAGCGAGACCCCGATCGCAACAACGTACAGCAACGCTGACACACACAGAAATTGAGAGATAAGAAACAGGAGAGAGAGAGAGAGACAAACACACACACAGAGAGAGGGAGAGAGAAGAGAGACAGGCAGACAGACAGACAGGCAGAGAGAGCGAGAGGGAGAGAAATAGAAAGGTCGGAAGAGGGGGGGCTGTCATCAAACCAAGCCAAAAGCTCATCTTGTATGCTAAGCATCTGCGCACTACATGACCAAATCGTTGCTCGTGAGAGGCAAATAAGCTCCCGAACTTGAAAGGCAGGGCCATCACCCCTGTGCCCGCGTCAAGAAGGAAAGCGAATGAGCCTCTTATCTAATGTTCGATGGCAGCAGCAGCAACAGCAGCAGCAACTCGTGGGGGTGGGATGCAGAGGGATTTTTCTAAGGCAGTTCATGGTCAGAGTAGAGAGGGGTCATGGCAATTCTTGTAAGTCTTTCACAACACATCCCCTGTTTCCGTGTGTCAGTTTACAGTCAGAAGAGACGGGGTGTGGCAAAACTCTTCGACACAAAACATCCCTTCCGTGTGTCAGTTTACAGTCAGAAGAGACGGGCTGTGGCAAAACTCTTCGACACAGAATATCCCTTCCGTGTGTCAGTTTACAGTCAGAAGAGATGGGCTGTGGCAAAACTCTTCGACACAAAACATCCCTTCCGTGTGTCAGTTTACAGTCAGAAGAGACGGGCTGTGGCAAAACTCTTCGACACAAAACATCCCTTCCGTGTGTCAGTTTACAGTCAGAAGAGACGGGCTGTGGCAAAACTCTTCGACACAAAACATCCCTTCCGTCTGTCAGTTTACAGTCAAACGAGAAGGGCCGCGGCAATACTCTTCGACACAGAATATCCCTTCCGTCTGTCAGTTTACAGTCAAAAGAGAAGGGCCGCGGCAACACTCTTCGATGCCCAAGATCCGACATCCCTCCTTTCATCTCACCTGCAAAATAACACTCAGACGCCGCCGCAGTGGGATCGTCGACGTCTACCGAGGTATAGAAGCCCTGCTTATCGAACATGATACCGATGATGATGAGGAAAATGATGCCCGGGACGGACAAACCGATACATACCCTCGCACCTGAAAACAGAAGGGGTGGTTGTGACGGTGGTTAGTTAGAAGTTGAGCAACACCTGTAGGGGGTTACACTCGAGTTGCCGTAGCTGCTTTTGTTGCTTTGTCAAAGTTCCATGTTGATTTCTGCTATGTAGCATGATTACTGTTGTTGATACCATGGTTCATGTTGACTTGTGGCTTTTTTTGTTTGGCACTACCATGCGCTGACTTGTCTGCGAGGTAGCGGGGGCCTCGTCGCTCCTTCTATCGGCGTACGAGTTCAGAGCGAGGTTGAACGAAACGTCGAGTTGTTTTCTTTCCACTCGCTGCAAAGACTTCACTACTGTGGATTAATCTCAAAAGGGCAGTCGGTCTCTCTGACGGTTTCTCTGTTTTCTAGAAACATCGCGTTGTCGGAAGAGGCACGATCCGCTGACAATATTGGCCAAGAGCGCTCGCAAACTGGACGCGAAAAGTAACGGACATACTCAGAAGACGTCTCGGGCCTAAAAAAACATCTATTTACATGTCTGCAACTTCGTGGACCGGCACACGTTCTGCTGTATCCGACAGAGGCCGAGAAATGTAAGGCCTATGATTCTTGGCCGTGAACTCGGGAGATCCGGAATTTCCTGGCGTGGGAGATACTTGAGTTCGTCCAGGACGATATTTTTGGTCCTACAGGCGGGCGAATGTGCGAATGCAAGCGGATGGCCGCTGATCCAACGTGTCGCGAGCCCCTCTTCTCCGCCATCAACAGGGTTCGAGCCTCCGACAACAGATCATCACCGCAACACCCGCTGGAACCACAGAACCAAGCGAGAGCCTAAACAACGCCGCGCATAGCGTATGTTTGGCTAGATACCAGGACATGGATTTTTGGAAGGGTTTTATTTCCAAGCTTGAGCGACCAGCTTGATTTGTTCAGCCCAGTTTTCATACCTACGTCAGGAGGCGCTGGTAAAAACTGGCAGCAAACCTCAATGACTGAATGCTGCTCATCTCACGATCCCGCATGGGGGCTGTGGTAAAGCAATCCGTGTGTTGTCATTAGACACTTCAGTTTAAAGGAGTGCTTGAGCATGCCCCGCTGTGCTTTTGTTTTCATCGATCGTTTCGTGGTCTTGGCGAACGTGCCAGGTGACCTTCTACGTGCACACGGTGGTGCTTTGACCGTCCGAATATTGAAAAGCTCTCGAACAGAGCCGCAACATACTTACTGCTCACAGGTAGCAACCCTCTGTTGTGTGATGCTGTAAAGCTCATACATGTCTGATGCAAAAGGCTTTAAAAAGTGTGCATACATCGGTCTACATACCACATGTATTGAAACGCGACAAGTGTGACAAAGTTGTGTGGCGAGGGCATGGGAAAAGCCTGTTCGGAACACACGAGCTGCAGAGTGCCCACACATGACGGGAGGTTTTCGAACTTCACGCTGGAATTTTCCAAGACATGGAGAGTTTTGGTAGCAACGGAGGGAGGGGCACCACTGTGAAAAATGCGTTCGCGGCTACGTCTGCAACACCAATCATGAATGAGCACCCACGCTGCTAGTGCACAGGCGTCACGCCAATACCCAACTTTTGGGCCAACCCTCTCGCGTGCGCCGTGAGTCGTGCGACAGACCTCGTTCGAGCCTCGATTCAAAGCCGTGACATTGCTGTGGAGAAAGGCCTACATATCTCAATAGTAAAAAACGCGCCACCACGGCTTGCTGCTCCTGCTGTCACAGGCGACGTGTCGCCACACGACCCAGAGGGAGGTACTCGGTGATAGTAACATTGTCTCCTCTCGTGCGGTAGCGAAGGGGTGTTGATCGCCGAACGGCAACAGAGGCGGCACAATCAAGGTGGTCTACCACTGCGCAGAGCAATAACAGCACAGCAGATGCGGGCGCTGCGGCAACCCATTGCTGGCGGCACTTTCCTCTCAATAATAGCCCTGTACTCACAGCAATCGATTCCGCCCATCCTAGACTGGGCTCTCCCCCTCGCTTTTTGCTTCGCCCCTCTCCAACGTTGCCTCGCTCCCTTTGTTCTTCGGTTCCGCAAAAAACTTCCGATGTCCCTCCCTCGTTAAGGTGTGTCGCTCGAGCGTGAGGGGGTGACTCTCGCCTTGGTTAGCTTCTCCCGCTTTGATTCGACAGCCCAGCCCGGATGATGCGTCCTTGATGACGGCAACCGGCTTAAGGCGCGTACGGTTCCGCGGGAAAGCCGTCCGTGACACAGCAGACCGAGCAATGAGAGACGGCCCCGCGGACGGAACAATGGGGGGCCTGCAAATAGAGTACGCCAGAGCACAGTACAATCAAATATCGATTCTGGAGACCCCGGTGCCCCTCCTCCATCCTCCACAGGGCCCCCTCCACGCTTTTCTCATCACTGCCGTGTCTCTTGGTTCGCCAGATCAACCGAAAGCGGGAGACCTGGTATAGAAGAAGAGATCACTGACACAAGGTCTCGCTACTTTCTTACTGCCACGGGCACGAAGGTGAGCCGCGGGCGCATGGCTTCCGGTGATGGTTGTTGACGAGTGACTGACCGGTGCGTCTCTCCTCGCTGTCCGCCAGCGTCACGGGGACGTACGATGAGAGTCTGGTAGGTGATGCTCCCGGCCTTCTGCTCTCGCTTGCCTATGTTGCGGGAAAGTGGACGTGTCAGCGCTCTCCACATTTCCTTCTCGTTTGGTGGTGTGTATCGCGTTTGTTGATTCAATATCCTCTGGCGAGAAAAGCCGTAAAATCGGTGTTTGAAAACAAACGTGGCTTGTGTGCACACACCACCTGGTTGTACAGCAGTACTTCGTTTGCCCCGCAACGATTCCTCAGGCACTCCAAAAAACACAGCCGTTGTCCATTTGGACACTGCTGGTACCGCCATCCTGCTGCCGTGTGTAATACCTAACGGCCTTTCCGGCCCCAAACGGCCAACGGGTGTCGTACGGGCCCATCCGAAACAAAGACCTTGACGGACATCGCTTTGCAGAACGAGCAAGCACCGGCATCAAGAAATGAAAAAATGGAAGCCGCGACTAATTCAGCACTAGATTTGAAAGCAACGAAGTTGAAAGCCACAAGGCGGCTTCCCTGTTCCTCTTCTTAATGCCGTGTCTGTGCATCACGGCATCACGGGATACTTAGTGCGTGTGCTTCGCTTTTGCCTCCCTCTCTCCGTGCTCCTTGAGCACCAACCAACCAGTTTGTTGCGTTGTCCCTCTGCATCAGATGCATTGTTTTTTTTCGTAGCTTTGGTCTCATGCAGCAGGCCACCTACAGCAGGTTGTGCTCACCCTCGTTCCCACGTCAACATCCCCTTGTATTATTTGTTATTTGTCAACGATACAGACGTTGAGTGAGGGATCAGGCATGCACATGAAGGCCCCTAGCCTTGATATATGCGATACCCTTTTGTGTTTTCTTTTCTCTCGTTGTTTCTCGAAAACTCTCGAATACGGTTGTACAGAATTGCGTGTGCCATTCAAATGAAGGAGAGAGAGAGAGAGAGAGAGAGGGAAGAGAGAGGGAGAACCCTCTCAGCGAATGGTTCAGAACTCTCTACTCAGCAGGTACTTTGTAGTATTCAAACCTTAAATGTTTTATGTCCATGATCTATTTTTGTGTACCGCGCCAAACACCACCCGCATGTGTCAGACATGGACAAATCCCTCCTTGCTACAAATATTTGTAGTGTAGGTCTCCCAAACGGCACCCTCATCAAACGGTGGTACATATCAAGCTTGGTAGCCAACCCTGATGGTGTATCCGTCACCCCACCCCACTCGTGTGTGTCTTTCTTATTAGCATCGACCCTACTAACCGGCTGACCAATGAAAAGACGTCTGTCTCAGCGCGGTGGAAAGCACAAAATGTTTGTAAATGCCACGATTTGGGACCCTGTGACCGAGCGTCATGGGGGAGTCTACGCTACTCTCCGGATTAAAGACAGACACCGTATCAATAACAGACTGCAAATTCCCATGGTTCCTACTGCTTTGGATGCACGTTCGTTTCGGATTAATATCATCGTCTTCCCTGTGTTACTACCGCCTTATGTCGCCAATATTCCCACTACTTTTTGGTAGGCCCTCTCCAGTCCTGCGGCGTTTGTTGTGGAAATAGTCATCTGGCTCGAACCCTTTGCTCTCTTCCACGCCATGTTTGCCTCCTCCATCATCGCCTTCGTTTTCCTTTCTTCTCCCTTTCCTTCATCTCTGTCACTCCCAAGAGAATTACCCTCAATACCATCGTTATCGCTTTCACCAGAATTACTACTGAAATCCCAACCTATTGGCCGAAGAGGAAATTGGTCGATCAGTAGTCCATGAGTGAGTGTGTGCATGATTCTTTTCGCAAGCATCGATCGCCCTGCACTAACCGGCGGGCCAATGGAAGAGGTCAGTGACGTCAGTCTTGCATGTGTCCATTGTTGTAAAGAGAAAAAAATATTCAGACGGGGATTCTCGACTCTCGAAACAGCGATGATCTGTATCTGCTCCAGTGACACTGTCGGCCGCCGGCTCGCTCAACGCACACTACACGTTTGCTTCCAGGAAGAAAGGAAATCACCAAATCTGCAATAAGAAGAACGCAAGCCGTCGAGGCTAGCGCGGCACAAGAAGATAATCTCGCGAGAGAGAAGTCCATCAATCAAGTGGCGCCAGGAGGCCAGGATCTGGTAGCATGGAGACTCCGTTACATCCAACGCCCATGCAGAGGCCCATGATGAAGGGGAGAATCTACGTGGACGCGTCAAACAAGCCGACGTTCCAGGTGAGAAAAGACAGCTACAATTGTGACACTGCCCGTATGCTGCTCGGGGAGTCGTAGAAACACAGTTAACAGTGGTTTCTTCGATTCGTGCTGGACTCTTTATCTGTTGAAAGGGATGCCTGTATGCTGCCCGGGGAACCGTAGAAAGACAGTTAACAGCAGTAGGGCCTCCGTAACCCTACGAATTCATTGATATTTAATAATTCGTGCTGGACTCTCATCTGTGGATAGAGAGATGGATTTCGTTGTGCTATTTTCTGGCAAATAAGACAAGGAACAGCAAGACAAGACGAGGACAGAGGCAATGGATTCGACAAGGACGTCTCTGCCCTGAGACTGGTCCATGAAGACTGCAACACCCCGCCCCAGTTAGAATCCACACTGCTTTGACGCGATTCTTATGACGTCGTTGACTCTTAGGTTGTCTGGTTCGATCCGATCTTTTGCTGCTGCCTCGAAGGCACCTGGCATCGCCACACCGTCTAGACCCCACGAAAACGCTGCGTTCCTCACATGACGTCCGTGTTCTTTTCACTAGGCGTTAGTCATTTTTTTTTTTTTGTCTTCACTTGAAACCAGCGCTCACGGCACTGGTGCCGTTCCCTCCAACCCGTGGTCACACAGAAGGGGCCCTCTTTGCCCTCCCCTCCTGCGGTACTTCGCCTTCGATTTTTAACGCGAGAATAGTCCAGCACCCTCTTCCCGCTGTGTACACACGAACTAGCGCTATCCACCACGCCAGGAGCGTAGAAAAGCTCGCTTACGCCGGGACTCGAACCCTTGACCTGACCTCTAGAAGTTTTCGAGGATACCAACTAGACCGCCGGAGCGATCGGAAAACAATTATGACACACATGAGCATTTGTGGTGCATTGCCAAGCCCCCGGGACTGTCCAGTTTACCGTCCGTCGCCGGATGTTTCTCTCCTCTTGGCATGTCGTTACAGGGCATCTGGGGCATGACGCACGCCGACGTGAACAAGAGCGGTCATACAAACGACTTCAAGGTCGTGAGGATGGAGTCTGTCAAGGAGCAGGAGCGGGGACTGCCTGTCTACCCCGGAAACTACCTGGGCTATTTCAAGCTCACCACCGGCTTTCAGACCGAGACGTGAGTGCTTTTCGCTGTTTTTGTTGTGTTTGTTAGTTGTCTTGACGTTAGGAACGATCCGATCTCTCCACCCAGTACCTTGCTCGCGTATTTGTTTCACCTTGGATGTCCCGCGATGCTGTGTGTGTATCGCGGTTTACTTTACGGGCTCGTTGCCACTTTTTTGTTTATCGCTGCCTTTCCTTTGTGAGCTTTTTCTCGTTCTGGAAAACGAAACCGATTCGTCTCTTTGGTGGGGACGTGGAACTAACTTGCAAAACGGAGATTCCAGACCAAAACATCGGCACTGTATAAGCGGTGTGGGGAAATGTATAGAAGACGTCGAGGTTGCGCCGCTCCCAATACTTTTTTTTTTCGGCACCTCGATAGCACCACCATCAGCAAGATAGTGCAATCGTAGCATCAGCAGCAAAAACGAACAACGAACAACGCTGACCTCTTGACTTTTTGCTGTTTTGTTTGTTTGTGTCACCCCAGCGTGAACGAGAGCTTCACGCTGACTTTCCGCGGGCACAGCAACCACGGCTACAACGTCTACGGCTACGGAGAGAACCGGTTCGGTAAGACCGAGATCGTCGGAACCGTCACGCAGACCGGCAAGATGGAGATCTTCAAGGCAAGCTTCGCGTCCCAACAGATTACCTCTCACAATGCCCCGTTACAACCCCCCGTGGTACACAGCAGAATCAACGCTCTGCAAGCCGAAAGAGTTGTACTGCTGCACGCATGAGACGTCGACGTGTGGCGCTACTACGGCTGAGAGTGGAGCCTTGGCGAAGTGGTAGCCCTGGCAGCGGCTGCAGGAGTGGTGGTGTCAAAGCTTGAGTGTCCCCCCGGTTGGTTCACTGCGTGACGTCATGATCAGATACCGAAATTTTGTACAATCGACGTACCCGCATGTTTTCTTTGTTGTTTCGTGGGCTAATGTGACGTATTCTCATATTTAGACTAGTGTGTATGCCTCCTCTGGCTTGTGTTTGTGTTTAATGTTTTGGGAATCGTCTTGGGCTACTTGCGGACGCAAGCGCCACTCCCTTGTAGAATCGCCATCTGCAACGACCCCCCGGCGTACTCCCCCCCAGTGGGAAGGAACGATTGGCCATCGGTGGTCGGTCCGGTGGGAACAATGCTCCGTCCTCTCGAGGACGCGTGGCGAATGGCCTAACCGCTAAGGCATGCCAAAAATGACCCCCCCCCCAAGCACCCTCGAGGCAGTTACACAGTGCTTACAACTGTCTCAAGAAGTGAAAGCACCAGAAAATGAATTAAGTCATACGCAGCTGTCGTCCGTACGCAAGGAAGTAAGCACAAGATGCCGAACGCCCTTAGCAGGATGCAGCGCACCCTTCATGCGACTCGCCGAATATCTCACGGCGCTTCGCGCTTGGTGATGTGAGAGCCTGGTCCGGTGAGAACCCGGCGTGCTCCGTCCCGGCTTTGTAGGGATGCGAGGTCAATGGTCTAACGACTACGACATGCACGACTATGAGTACACCCGCCCCCCCCCTCCGCATGCACATGTGTCCAAAGTAGCGGAAAAGGGCAAAGCACGAGCAGGGAAGCTGCACCAAATACTANAGTGAAAGCACTCGAGGCGGCGCAGATGAAAGCAGCGAAAATCATCCTAGCATGCTCTAGGCGCACAAGTAATGCAGCCGTGA